AGAAAACCAGTGTTCCCTAGTCAACAGGATCACATTATCGTAACCCGTAAAGCAAGTAAAGCTATACAGCCTGGAGTTTAAACAATATCCATTAATACAACGTCATATTTCAAGAAAGCTAAGCAGGGGGTGACTGTATCTGTATATAAAATTGCCCTCATCATACTTTTTCTCTCTTTTTATGCCTGAGGATGCGTGTGGAAGCAGGAAGAAGTAGACTTTGTTCTTAGGCTTGGGGGTGGTCTTGTCGACCACAATATCCAGCACCCAGGGCGGTACCGTCTCATTGAGCAACACCCCCTCCGTATCTCCCCCAGCGTCTCCACAGAGCAGCCGGTACAAAGTGCGCCCCTGGATCTCACTGAAAATTAAAGGGAAAATAAGCAACAATAAAAGAGGTGATTACCATTATTATCACTGTTATTACAATTATCAATATCATAATCACAATTAGAATTACTTTTCTCTGTTATTGTTATAACCAATATCAATACTGTGATCATACAATTTTGGGAAATGGTAGCTATGGTAATGATGTGAAGATGATAATAAAGATGATGAATATAAACAGTAACAGTAATAACAATAATAATAATAATGATAATGATAATATTGAGATAATAAAAATGATAATAATAATAACAGCAAAAATATATTATTATTAATAGATCATAATTAAAATAATGATAATCATTAATCATGTTTATTATATCATTATCAATTATGCAATTACATCATTATCATCATATCATTAGCATTATCATAATCATTACAATCATTATCATCATCATCATCATATTAATACTGATAATGATAATATTGATGATATAACTGATCATACTTACCATCACAACAATAAAAAATCACAATGATTTATCACAACATAGTACTCATGACATCACAAATATGACAATGATGGAACTTTCCCCATAACACACCCTAGCGGAGCTCAGAAAAGCCTAGAGCTCGCCATACCTGAGATTTACTCATGACATCACAAATACAGACGATGATGGAACTTTCCCCATAACACACCCCAGCGGCGGAGCTCAGAAAAGCCTAGAGCTCGCCATACCTGATAATAACCTCCCCTGTGGCTTGTTCCACTTCCGTTTCCCACTCCGAGACATGTACGTTCTTGGCCAGTGCTCGAACAGGGCCTTCAGCAGGAGTTCACCGTAGTTGACTTTTGGAGGAAGGAGAAAGAATGGGGGAAAGGATATTTAGTGATTGTCATTTTCTGAAATGTTTACTGTGTCTTTTATTAAGAAAAAAGAAATTGGGATCAAACTAGCATACACAAATATGTTTATCAATATAAGAATACCTAATGATCTCTACCTACTTGTAAATATAAAATATATACTTTTTTCTAATATATTACGTATATAATATATATAATATATAACATATTCAATATATAGTACAAAATATATGATACACATACTATGATACACATGATATATATAATATATATATATATATATATATATATATATATATATATATATATATATATATATATATATATATATATCATATATATATATATATATATATATATATATACATATATACATATATACATATATACATACATATATATATATACATATACATATATACATATATACATATATACATATATGTATATATATACATATATACATATACATATATACATATATACATATATATATATATATATATATATACATATATATATATATATATATATATATATATATATATATATATATATATATATATATATATATATATATAATAAATAATATGTATAAAATACAATATGTATATCATAAAACTTATACAAAATATCATTATTCGGCTGATGTCTGCCACCACCAAACTTCCAACACCATGATAGTGCATGTTTATTTTAGTGATCAAAAGGCATCATCACTATATCAGTACTGAAGGAATGAATCAACAGAAAATAACAGAAGCTGCACACATCACGATGGAGGGGAACACGAACTCCAAGTCAGGCAGTTTCAAACTATCCAAGAACATGGGAAAATTCCAAGAACATAGGAAATTATCCAAGAACATAGGGATATTATCCATGAACATGGGAAAAACTATTGTGCCAGTGACAAACAAGAGGAAACTGATATCAGATAAATCTTCAGCTCAGGTCTGGTATATATGATAAAACTGAAATTTTTAATCAATATTTTTTTCTATATTTGTCATACTAACTCTTTTCAGCAATACAATAACAAAGAGAGAATATAAAAGAACAAATAATTGCTGATTCCATTTAGAACATAAGAATAATTTTTAGGTTGAAAGAATGGTTGACAGGTTCTTCCCCTGATGACCATCAAAGGGCTTGCTAGTTACACCTCCGTTATATGATGATTCAAGTAGACACGGTAGTAAAATCCATCATTCTTTAACCTACCAGCCCTTCTTAGCATTTTCATGTATTACTCTGTCACCGATAACATATGTACTTACATCCAGAACCTGGTATTGCTCGTTCAGTGGGGGCTGACTAACATACTGATAATTATAATTTATCCACTTATATATCTATGCATCTATCTTTTTCAGTATAAATCTATATGCCTACATTCACAATGGATAAAAAGCTCTTTCCTTAAGTAGCAGCTTCATCAAAGCCTGAAACATCACCAGCCCTTACTTTTGAGGTCTACCCCATCCTGAGTTGGGAAATTTGCTTCTTTGGCTGACACCCATGCGGAGAGGCAGTCCACCTCGTCTCGCTTCTCTGCCAGGTGGATTGTCAGCATCTGCAGGATTAGAGAGAAAATTTATTCATGTGTCATGCTTTACTTCCCCCTACATGGGGTAGAAAATGCAGCAAAATAAAAAATAATTTATACTGGCATTTATAAATAGTCTTGTTACTAGATTTTTGCTAACATGAATAACAATAGCTAACAAAAACATCTAATTATCATCCAAATCATCCAAAGAACTAGAGCTATAAAAAAAATCTACATAGTAATCTTTATAAAACATATCAATAGACTAGGTCAACTCTAACACTAACACTTACTCCTGTCTTCAAGTCAACAGTAAACCAACTAGGAACATAAATGGGTTTGTTTTTCTTCTCCTTTTCTGCCTCAAAGTCTACCTTGCCAAGGTCCTCCACTTTCACTGCCTGTGTGGATGAGAGTGGAAATTTTTAAAAATACAGTGAGTCAAACTATACCATATAATTTCTATTTGCTATTATTTTCTACTTTTCTACTTCCTTCCCTTAAAAACATCAAATGGCTATAGAGGAAGGTACATTTTCTGTATTTGTTTGCACATTAACAATATTCTTTTTCATGTTTACACTAAACACAAAAATAAAACTAGTCCTTTATTTCAATATTAGATCCTATTCTAACAGTCTCTCCCTTATATGCTCTCCCAACTTGAAATTTTTCCTCAAAAGTCTGACCAAAAGAGTTCAACATCAGTGACCCTACAAAAAGAAATATCTCCATACAGAGCACATAAGAAACACTAAGGCCAGCCCAACCTTAAGGATGTCCCAGAGCACAACGTTCTCCTCTGTGTCGCGGGTGAGCAGGTGCCGCTTGTCATTGAGGATGGTGTACTGCTTGATGGACGGACCCCCTCTGATGCTCCAGTCTGGCTGCCCCATCACTGGGCGCAGCTCCTGCTCGTCATCATTATCACAGTAGTCCTCCACATGGGATAGCCGGTTGTTCAGGGGCTGTTTTGAAGGGAGGGAAGTGAGATTATGGAGAGTGAAGGGAGACAGGGAAAATGAGCAATTAGTGGTTAGACGAAAACTCTATTCACACTTTACAATTTACAATTTAGAAAAAACTTGTATTGTCTCTTTTCTATAGAAGAAGAAATGCCTCTTTGCTCTCACAACAAATGATGAATACATAAGAGATGAAAGATTTAATATTAATCAAAACATATGACAATCAAATATCAAAAAAAACTTATATAACACAAGAACGCAAGAGTAGCAAGCCCCTCATCTGAAAATCAAAATCACAATGCCCCTTGAAAAATAAACCAGAAATATATAAATTCCAACCCACAAGTATCTCCAGCCACAAGTATCTTTAACTCACCCAACACTTGATGGCCGAATTGGTGGTGGCCACGTACAAGGAGGAGTTGTCTGGCGTGAGGAGCATCTTGAGCACCGGGGCTGATTCCACGCACAGTAGGACATGTTTATCAGGGCAACGCGTCTCAGACATGTATATGCGTTTGTCCCTTCCTCCCGAGAAGACAGTTGTGAATGTGTCGTTGGCCTGTTCAAGTGAGCAGTTAAGTGTTATTATGCTTATTATGAGTCATATGATACTAAAATTATTATCACAAAAGAGGTGGAGAAGGACAAGGCAGAGGAGGAGGAGGAAGAGGAGGAGGAAGAGGAGGAGGAGGGAGAGAGGAGGAGGAGAGGAGGAGGAGGAGGAGGAGAGGAGGAGAGAGGAGGAGGAGGAGGAGGAGGAGGAGGAGCGAGGAGGAGGAAGGGCAGGAGGAGAGGGAGGAGGAGAGGAGGAGAGGAGGAGGGAGGAGAGGAGGAGGAGGAGGAGGAGGAGGAGGAGAGAGGAGGAGGAGGGGAGGAGGAGGAGGAGGAATGGAGAGAAGGGAGAGGGAAAGGAGGGGGGGAGAGGGTGGAAGTGGAGGAGAGGAGAAGAGGAGAGGAGGAGGAGGGAAGACTCCTCCCCTCCTGAGACTGACCTGCAGAGCCCAGATGCCCTCCTCGTGGATTCTAATGGTGGTAACGCAGCGCTGCTGACCCAGTGACCACAACTTGATGGTGCCGTCTGAGCTGCCTGATAGTGCCTGCGTGCCGTCACGGTTCACTAGCAGGGCCTTCACATTATCTGTGTGACCTGTGGAAAAGGAGGGATTATTGTTCTGGCTAGAAATTATGGAGGAGGGTGCTGGTGGATGGTGGTGATGGTGACGAAGGGATAACGAGGCAGGCCATAGTGAGGAAGATAATGGCAAGGAGGGCAATGACGGAGAAGGATGGTGGAGAGAGAGGAAAGGAGGAGAAGAGAAAGAGGAGGAGAGAGGAGGAGGAGGAAGGAGGAGGGGAGGAGAGGAGGAGGAGGAGGAGGAGGAGGAGGAGGAGGAGGAGGAGGAGAGGAGGAAGAGAAAGAGGAGGAGGAGGAGAGAAGGAGGAGGAGGAGGAGGAGGAGGAGGAGGAGGAGGAGGAGGAGGAGGAGGAGGAGGAGGAGAGGAGGAGGAGGAGGAGGAGGAAAGGAAGAAGGAAGAAGAGGAAGAGAAGAGGAGGAGGAAGAAGAAGAGGAAAGGAGGATCAGGAGTTGATACTAGTGATAAGTAGATAGAAAACAGTAAAGAAATTGTTACTCATCAATAAAGAAAATGATACTCAGGAAGGTGATAGTGAGGAAAGGCCTTTTTGTAGTGATGGTAATGATTGTAATAAAGAGAGTGATGTGATGGCAATAAACGTGATAATTGTAGTGACACTGGTAATGGTGGTTACGATGATGAAGAGAAGGTGCAAGTGGAGGATTACAACAGTTCCCTGAACCACAATCCAAAGATTCATTCTCTCAAAACTTACAAGCTTCAAAATTAATCTTAAATCCTTCATACATTCATAATCTTACTTGTTTTCTAAATCAAAACCTACCAACTAACATTTCTTTCCTTTTTAACTAACCTTTAAGCTTCATGAGTTTGTTTCCGGTGCGGGGATCCCATACGCGGAGCTGCTTTTCTGTGCTACCACTCACAATCACAGTGCCAGGTGCATTCATAGCCAGGCTGTAGATGGAGTCCTTGTTGCCATTCAAAGACGAGGCTGAAAAGGATATATATGTGAGGAAATAGCTAGCGCAAATATATGTATATATGTATGTATGTATGTATGTATATATGTATATATATAATGTATGTATATATTAATATGCACATATATGTAATATATATATATATATATATATATATATATATATTTAATATATATATATAAATATAAAAATATATATAAATATACTATAAAGATATATATAGCTTATATATATTATATATAAATATATACTAAATATAGTGATANTACATTAAAGGAAGCAAATTCATAGTTGATTGTTGCTTACCTCAACATTATGGCCTTATTAGTGTTGATTCTTTCCTTAATTATGGTGTGATAAGAATATACAAAACTACTGACAGAAATGAAATTCTGTAGACTACTTGATATTTTCTCAGCAATGTTTAGTACTAAATTCCGTATGGAAAGATATCATGATAGGCAATCAGATATTGGTACTGCAGGCATATTTTGTATTTCAAGTACACATTTTTGGTATATTCAATTAGGTGTAATCTTTATATATGTGATACCTTGATAATGTACACACATTAGTTTTGACAAGGAATATCCCTGTTCATATACTTGTGAATATGGGGTATTGTATGTAAAGCAAACAATATCTTCTTTTAGAAGATGTAATTATTTCATGTGTTTTAATATTGTTGCAATGTGTATAAACAGTATTCTTTAACTATGAAATGATCTAGTCCAGGACAAGAGCAACAGGTTACTTTGGCAATTTTAAGACAGTGAATAAGCATCATTACAGTAGGTGGCTTATTCCTCAGTTTTCTTATTCAGTTGAAACATTACCTGTCCGTTGATGATATTCAAATAGTAAAATGTAAAGCACTTTATATTAGATATCACAAAGTTTCCTCTTGTAAATGGATTTGACATTTAAATATACAGACACTTGAATAGTTGATCATTTTGACCATAGAGACAGGTTGTGCATAGATTTTGGAAAGTCACCTGATGTGACAGATATAGCTGACAGTAAAACATGACAAAATGGTTAAAAGCTCAGTTCTGATGAATAGGCCTCTGTGGTTTTGTTAGAAGTTCAATTAACCTTTTAAAATTGCCATTTTGGAACTTTTTTGTGATTTTTAGTTTGAATAAGAAATTACATAAACCTTGCCATTATATAAATTCCCTATTGATAAGTGAAAATAAACTTATACAAATACTGACTTCTCTTTATTCTCCCTCCCAATACCTTGCTCATTATTGTTGTGGGAGGGCTTAGGAGATGGAAACTGAGGCCTAATGGAGGGGATCACCTTGGGCCTCAGCCCTTGACTCAACTAATTTTGCTTGGTCTTTTCTTCTCTCCTTTCTTCTTCTGTATCTTCTTCATCCCCTTCTTCTATCCCATTGCTAAGGTGCGAGAGCCGTGCAGAAAAGATGAAAGGCTGGCTTTGTGTCAGTCATGAATGGCCTCCAGGAGCCATGGGCACAGTATTCCCTTGGTTAATTGCCTAGCCCTTACCCCTTTTGGGGATCCTGAGGGGTAGACTTTCTTTCCCCATTTTATTCAGGCTCACCATGGCCAATAATGAAGATTCGTTACCCTTAATAGGTGCATTAAGGCTTTCCCCTTTATCAACTAGCCAATCTAAATTTGATTTTGATGATTTTCTGACCCCTGCCCCACCTTTAACCATGGCTCCGACCAAGGATATTAATACCCTCTCTTCAACGCTTACTGACAACACTATCCATTCCAAAACACCCACTCAGGTTATTACTCAACCAGTTGAGTAATAACTCAGCTGGAGTTATTCCTCCAGTTGAGTAATAACTGGAGTTATTACTCAACTGCTGCACAGTCCTCTTCAGTGTCTACCCCGTCTTCCCTTATTACTATTCTTCATTCTTATTGTCCCCTCCCTCCACTCTACACCACCCTATCTTCCTCTCTTCCTCATCCTACTGCCTCTACCTCTGCAAACCTTTTGAGTACTCTCTTTGGCCCAGCAAAGTGGGATCGATTCTTTGAGATCCCCCCACAGATCCTATTTTGAGAATACCCTTCTCTTTCAACAGTGCCTCCAAAAACAAGTAGGCAAGGTTACCTTTCGCAGTCCCCCGACGTTCACGCCTTGTCACAGTTACATAACCCTAATTGACCTCACTGGCAAATCCATTCCTGCTGAACCTCATCCCTCTCTTAATACTTGTATTGGAATTGTTTCCATCCCCCCAAATGCTTGTCCTATCTACAACAAAAAGTGGTCAGACAGTGAAAATTACCGACTTACCTGCCTTGCTTATTATGATGCAGTGGCAGTACAGTGTTACACTATTCCTCCCAGAGGTCAGCGTAAATCTCATGTCAATATTGCCAAGATTAGCTTCGGTAGACATGACCTCCCCATGAAATTATATTTGTGGATTGTCCTACCATGTCCGACCATATTGACCCCTTTCTCACCTATGTCAGAAAGGTTGGCGTTTTGGTCACCCAGCCAAACACTTTCGCTCCACATCCCGCTGCCCTCTATGTGCCCAACCTGGTCATGACCATTCAAACTATCCTGCTCAGTCGCATACATGTGCCAGTTCTGGAGACTCCGATAATGTATTTTATAGGAGCTGTCTTGTCTATAAGCTCAAATATGAGGTATGCTCACCCTATCCCCCAGTCAAATTCGTTTTCCAGTCTAAATCCAGATACTCCAATTTTTATCACTTTCCCAATACCTACTCTCCTCACTTTATTTGTTGCGCCAGGCTGCCTAAACGTTCCACTCCACTCTACTACATCCTTTCCTACACCCTCTTCTTCTTCTTCCCCCAATCCCTCTGTTCCTACTCCTACATTTAAAGTATTTGCAGATATCCATCCTCTCGTCAAGTTTCCTCCACCCCCCTTATTCCTACACCCTCCCAACATACCCCACCCTCTATACCGCTCCCACTTGAATACTCACACGAATCTCCTCTATCACAACAGTGTCCTTTTCCAGATCCCTCCCATTCAGACCTTCCTGATACTTCATCACCTTCACCAGTCCCCTTTTCTCATCTCCCGGATTATTCTCCTCATACTTTTCCAATAGCAACCTCTGTCTTCCATGAACAATGTCCTGTCACAGATACAATCGCTCTACCCTCTTAACTCCCTCTTTTCCCTTTTCGTTACCATACTTTCCTATAACACCTTTATCAGCAAGCTTCCCTGAATCAAATTACTCTGGTTTACTGACCCCTGATTCTCCCCTGATCATGTCTCTGACCACTATAACTACACCCCCTCCCCGACACTTCCTGTGAACTTTACCAATTCTAAATCATCTACCTAGATCATAACTCAACCTTCAAAAGACACCCCTTCCTCATTCCCAATCTCCTCCAACCCATCTGCACAATCATTTCAATTTCCTACATCCTCCTCCGTATTACAACACTAACCTGACTGCCCTCCGCCTCACGGTACTGCCTCACTTCAACAACCCCTTCTTCCTCCTGTCCTCACCTGTCTACAACTACATTTACAAATCTTCTGAGTACTATGTTTAGCCCAGCCAAGAGTGATTGGCCAGACTGTGAAGACGAACTATTTGCCTGCCTTACTAAGAGTATCAGTAGTGCTACACTATACATTCTAAAGGTCTAGAAGTCGCATGCCAATATTGCCAGGATTCCCCTTTGTAGACATGACCTTCCCCATATATCGGCGTAGAATCTTGCCATGTCAGACCATATCCCCCACCCCCCACAGTCGATGTAAAAAATGTGGCGTTTGGGTCATCCTGCAAAGCAATGTCGCACCACAGCTTGCTACTCTATGTGCCCAGCATGGCCATGACCGTTCAAGTTGCCCTGCACAATCACGTACAGGTGGCTCCCATAATGTATTTTATAGGGATTGCACTGCCGATAAGTTTGAGTCTGAGGTAGCGCTCCTCAGATACAAACGAGATGCCTGACAGGAAGCACGACGACGAGGTTTTTCTATCACTCCTTACTCCATCACTCCTCTTCCCCACTACCCAAACTGCCTCTACAGCTTCCACAGTACCTCTTCCCTTCTACTCTTCACCCCATCCTGTACTTCCCTTCTCTCCCAATCATTTTTTTTTTCTAAATCCAGATACTCCAATATCCACAACTTTCCCTATGCCAGCTCCTCTTCGCCCTTCCTATCGCACCAGACAAGTTAAACGATTCACCCCATCTTTACCTTCCACATCCACACCTACAACTACATTATCTTTTCAAATCTTCTCTGCGCCTCATAAAAATCCTTTGTTTCCTAAACCTCCCTGCCCAGCTCCCCTCCAGACACCCTTGAGGACAGCCGAAACTTCCTGAGCATTACCCTCATTCTGTCTACAATCAGAGACTGCTGACATCCATCCTCTCCCTTCTTATGTTCCCCTTACCCTTGTTCCTCCTACCCTTTCCCATCATACCTCCATCCTCTACCCAAACCAAACCCCGTCCATCCCCCTATCCCGTCCATTCCCTCCTGGATACACACGTGAATCTTTTGTCACACTCCCGGATCCCACTTTCCCTGGTACTACTTCACCTCTTGATCCCCTAACTCAACCGCTGAATATTCCTCCTCCTACTTCTCACACAGTTTTAATAAAGTCCTTTCTTTCTGATCGCACCTTCCTTGTCAGACATGCCTCTTCTACTTCTGTCCTGCGGCTTTTATGACCATTCACGCATTAACCCAGTTACATTTGAGTCCCAAGCTCATGCACTTTCTACCCTGATTGACTTCACTGGCAAACATATTCCTGTCAAGACTCACTCTTCCCTTAATACTTGTACTGGTAATGTTTCATGAAGTTTATATTGGTAGAGAGTTCTAACATGTCCAACCTTATCAACCCCTCTCCCATCAATGTTTTGGCATTTTGTCCTTTTCTTTTTTTGATTTTTGGATTTTACTTGCCGATTTTGATGAAACTCACACCCTTATCTAGACCTTAGCCTGATCTCTGTGGTAGATATTTTTTTTCGAAATCGCCCGAACAGTTTTTTGAATTATAGTAAAATAATAATTAAAAAAAAGTCACCGAAAAAAAAAAAAGAAAATTGACCATTTTTCAAAAAAACAAAATCACAAAAACATTAGTCATTCTTATTGTTTTACTATTCAGAATCTATAGTAAAATATAGGATTTATTTCGACTTTTTTTACCGAGTCGACTGGCAGGTCTCTGAAAAAAAACTCTTTTTCATATATATATATTACTTTTACAAGAATCAGAGGGAAAAAACGAAAAATCCGCTTCCTACATGCCCTAGTCACACTATTTATCTACAAAAAGAGCCATAATGTTTAGGCATCTTTTCCGGTAGCAATTCAGGGTGTCGCGAGACGCGACGCGACACCTATCACGAGACTCGTGATAGGAGGCGAGACAGGCCTCTAAGCTCCGCCCATTTCTGTGACGTAATGGGAATGATCGCGGTTGACGGCTTGCTATTTTACTGTACTGGTTATTTTTCCAACAGGTAAACAGTATTTTGGAATATGATATCCAAGATGGCTTTTGATATCTTATGGTGGGTAGTGCGGTGTTATAGATATCCAATATAAGTACGAATATGCATGAAATATCCAAAGCAGGATATTTAACTCAATTAAAGTTAACCGTCTGCTCGATTCCTGTCGCGCAAGAGGTGTCGCGTTTCCCGTAACCGCTGTAGAAGATGCTTTTAATTTTGGACTAAATTTGCTTCCTGTACGCTTCTTGAAAAAAGAAATAAGTATACTTCCGAAATAACAGAAGTTTTTTCTCTTTTCATAATTCTTATGGTATGAAAAAATTTAAAGGTAAAAGCATAATCTTCCTAAACCATAATTGTCTATCATCTACCGGCATTCCGAAGTATTCCGGGCATTGCCAGCACGTAACGGTTTTTCAAAATCTTTTGTATGGTGTAGCAGGGTGGCAGTAATTTTTCGTGTCTACAGGCCTACATTGACAATTTATCTTAAATCCAAAATAAAAATAAAAAATCGCGCAGACATTCTGATTTCATATCTGAATAAATTATCCTTCTACAATAATATGCAGAAGCCATTTTTTAGAAGTCAACCTTACTTTTTAGGTGAACATTTTCCGCAGCCCACAATCTCGACACCCAGAAAGGGATACTGAAAATTTATGTCAATTTTATAGGCACATGAAAATATTGCAAACCCTTATTGCATCATGTAATAGATCTATCATTCAGCTATAAAATGAGCCATAATACGTTAAAATCGGATTCAAAATCCGTGTGCTATGCGTAAAAATGTGAAGGATCTAATAATCGCGATATTTTTCCTTTTCATTATCTATACATTTTACATGACAAATCATGTATGAAATACTTGTATTTGATATAATTATCTATTATTTACCTATTATTGTTGCTCTAAAGGGGTTTTACAACGTATGATATTGGTCGAAAAAATAACCGTTCTCCAGTCAGACGGGTATGATAGGCGTCCTTATTTCAGCGCGGCGGGCCTTGTGGACCATGAAATTCGTTTCTTTGCATCTGCGGATTATTGGTGTTTAACTCTACGAGGTCATGTGGTCAATTTTCACACTCAGGCCCCGTGGAAAGACAAAATTCTATTACATGGCGATGTAAAAGTATGGGTGTATAAGCACATATAGATCACTTTCATGTACCCCATGACCTTTTG